ACACACACACACACACACACACACACACACACACACACACACACTGCTCTGTCTATAGACACTAGCATAATATTAAATCGCCATAATGTCTGAATGTTTGCTGCTGTCACAGAAGTCTCCAATCATGTATCGATCGCGTCACTTCTCCAGCCTGTTCCTTCCTGAAATGATTTCAAATATTGACACAAAACTCGTTCGGTTCATTTAGGAGGTCACTGGCGGTCATTCATGCATTTGTTGCGAAGCAAACCAGCATCAAAACGGTTGACCCCAAAAGTGCGGGGACAAGATTTCCTATATGATTCCTGTTCGGAACTAAACCAATAAAGTTCACGTTTTTTTTTCCTACATCTGTTTGATTTCACATCTTACGTAGCCAAGAACAGACATGTACAATTTTTCAAGCTTCTTTTATTCACAACACAAGATGATTCACAAGTTTAAAAAGCCAGAATTGGTTAAAGGCTTTTCATCTGTAGTCCCGTGATTTATACTTAAATATTCTCAATTTCTGCCTTCTTTTAATTGTGTYTGACACTGACTGTAAGCAGTCTAGTAGAGGGAGAAACATTTTGAATATGAATGTTTTCTTCTGTATTTTTTATTATTTAAATAGTTCAAAAAATAGCAGGACTTTGTCCAATAATCCATCAATTGTCAGTTTGTTAGTCTGGTCAGATTCAAACGTTATTTCTCCAAACTGAGGTTGTTCTGCATCATGCATCTCTTTGCAGAAGAGGATAAAAAGCTATTTTGTTCTTAGTTCAGCTGCGGCGTTGACCAGAAAAGTGGGAGGAGGGAGCTAAACTTAGTTGATTATTTACAACRTTTGGGGTGGCAGGCCCAGATGTAAGGCATCTAAGGTCATCTCACTCTAAATAGAAGTGCAACAACATGAGTCAAGGCTCATTGCTCCTTTACGTTAGACTGCAGTTAATTTAAAAAGTATTCTAATCCACCACTTTTCACCCCTTTGTCTTCTCCTCTCTTCMTTCTTCCTGTCGTCTCCCACTCTGTCCTTTTCTTCCACCTCGTCAGGGCCGCTGTTCCAGGGAGAACTGTAAGTACCTGCATCCTCCGCCKCACCTAAAGACGCAGCTGGAGATCAATGGAAGGAACAACCTCATCCAGCAAAAAAACATGGCGATGCTGGCCCAACAAATGCAGCTTGCCAATGCCATGATCCCCGGCACACAGTTACAACCGGTGGTGAGTAGTTCTAAACACACTTCCAGACGATGAGCTTTCAGGATTTGCTCAATAAATGGGTAATGTTTTCGAACTGACTACAGTAAAGTTTATTTCAGTTATTAATTCGGTTGATACATGTCTGCACGTTTTGAAGTTGCACTTCATAAAATGTTAAATCCACTACAAAAACAAAAAGTACTTTGCAAAACACAATTTCACACTTGTTAAAGTTTTTGCTGCTTTCCAAATATGGCTGACTGCTGTTGTTCATTTTATTTTATTTTTTATATTTTTTTTACTTTTTTGTACATTCTGCTTGCATGACTAATTAGCTAATTACACTTGYTCACCTTGATGCAAAAGAATAATCACAAAATGTGCCCAGTTCAAACAAAACTTTGCACAACTTTCTTCAGTTTCCACCAAGTTCATTTTGTGTCCTCATCAAACAGTATTTTTTTGTTAGAGATTATCATTTGAGCTATATTATGTTATACCACCTTCTGCCAAAAATGTGCAGTAATTTATTTATCTATCTATCTATCTATCTATCTATCTATCTATCTATCTATCTATCCATCCATCCATCCATCCATCCATCTATCTAAATCTTGCTAAGGCCTGGTGGTATCTATAAGACTAAATATATTTTACAATTTGTCCAAATGTACAGGGGTCAGCTTCTCACACTTCCTTCTGTTATAGAAAAGAAATCAAACATTATTTTTGGTTCAGTGGAAATGGAAAGTTGGACAAAATCCTGCTCCCTGGGATCAATAACTTCTWAACAAACTGTTTGCAAGCTGTATCCCCCTGCTTTAACAACAGACAATATAGAACAAGCTTTTTTCAATCATAGTCTTATGCTCGAAAATTTAACCTTAAATTGTCACAATGGTCCGCAAACCAGCCAGTGTTGTTTGACTTCTAACAGTTTGCTAAAACRAAGGACTAAAATTGCAAAAAACACATGAAAAAAAAAAACTAAAAACAAACACTAAGATGAATTCTGAATCAACATTCACAATGGCTCTATAAGACACTGTACACTTGGACATGTATATTCAAATGTGCACTTTCCCAGTGCCGGTCCTCCTTAACTGACAAACAGGCTGAGTTAAAAGTCCGATGAGAAGAACAATTCATTGCAGGGTTTGAAGAAGTGATAGATCTTCTCGGAACTGCTGAGCCTTTCCTTTTTTTGTTTGTGTCACAAGGAGAAAGGAAAGTAAATGGAGCAGGTGGAAGACAGGCTGACAGAGGAGGACACAGCAGCAGAAGAAAGGGAGGCAGGATGAGATAAAGGGGCTGAGGAGAGAGGAGGTGATAGGACGACAGCAGACCTTTAGACTTGGCCTACAAAGAAAAGATAAAAAACGAGCACAAAAGGAACGAAAGATTTCTCTAAGGGGAAGCTGTTTTCATAAATTAAACTTTCTTCCTGTACTGCTTTCTTGTGTATTTCGTTTCCTGCCTCCATCTCTGATTTCTGGATTATAATCCTTTCTGCTACATCTGTCCCTCATCCCACATGTGCGTTAAAAAGGAGTGATTTCATTTCACTGATGGAGCTGTGTGTGCGTGTGTGTGTGTGTGTGTGGTGGGGTGAGGGGGGGTGTAATAGGGGTCCATTACGTCTGGCTGTGAATGATGGTGCTCATATAACTTTTTATTAGAGTCAGCAACAGCAGATAGTTCACATTATGCAGTTACAGCTCTTTATCACTCATAAATTAATTTGTTCCATTATTTCTATAGAAAAACTCCAATATTGGTCAATAATTATGAGAAAAAAAAACTATGAAGATTACACGGCTGATTCAAAGTTAGACACATTGTGATGTTTGAGAAAGATATTATACATCTGAAACCACAAAAAAATTCAAACCTGTTAGTTCTTCAGTAAGTTTTCTGTATTGAAATGAATAAATTCTGGTATCAAGTCAATTTTAGAAAATTGCTTTATTTATTTATTTATTTATTTATTTATTTATTTATTTATAGTTTTGTTTTTATTATTTTGTATTATTCTTATATTTTAACTCAGGGTCACAACATAAAATGCTTGTTACAACAAAAATGAGTTGTAAAATCTATATTTGATCAAACCAATGTCACATTACCATGAACATCAAAACAAATTACGGTCAGAAAAAGTGTTGTGACATTGTTTGCTTTTCAAATGTGAAATTACAATTCAGATCCGAACACAACTCATGTTCTTATTTGGAAGCTGGTGCCATACTGTAGAAAGGAAGAAATAAATAAATAAATAATAAAACACGTAAACAGAGATTCCCAAAAAGACCTGGAGCGAGGTCACAACTTCTTCCTTCATGAAATCACTGCATTGTTAAAATATTCTGACTGTGAGAGTTTTCAGTGACATCATGTCTCTGATCTCAACCTTGAGCTACAAATGGATATCTGAGCATATTAAGTGTGACTTTTCTTTTCTTTTCTTTTTTTCTTTTTTTTTGGAACACTTTGCATATCTCTTTAGACATTTGTTTTTGAAGGAACGGAAGAAATGACAAACTTCACCTCTTGGTTTTTAATATATTTTGGATTTGATTCAGAGCAGTGAGGAGGTTTCAGAAGGAATGTAGCTGTCCCGTTTTGGCTGCTCTATTACTCACTGTCCTCTTGGCGAGGGCCCAGGAGACAATCCTCAGTCTGGGGCCGAGGTCGGGGACGTGCAAGGAAAACTTGCATTGTGCTACGTCAGCTTGTACACTCCTTAGCCTCCCTCTTGGAGCTCTGCAGAAGAAGATGTAAGGTGGATGTTTTCTCTGTTAAAGTCCAGCGCTGCACAAACAGGCAGAGCAACGTCTCCCACGTAGCACGGATGCACAGTTTGACACCTCTTATTATTGCTGCTGTTGTCTGTGTGAGCTCTGGTATATGAAGCACATGATTGTGTCTGATGAGAGAGGATAGGTGACACGGCATACTAACGAAAGCCCTCATTTTACTATCAGCACAGATAGAAGCCAAGCAACCATGGAAAACCTCGATTGTTACTCCTCATGTGTTGGGCTGCTAATGATCTCCACAGCCACAGCTGCTTTCTCGGCCATGCTGAATAAAATTGCATGCATTATTTATTTCTCTATCAACTTTTATATCACTCATTAGAAGAACAGTTTTGATTTTTTTATTAAAGTGGCTCTGAGGGAAGTTTACGAACAATCAATATCTTACATGCTGTAGATAGGTCTTGAAACATCTCGTTTTGGAGGAATAGCAATTATTTTTGAGGAGACGGGCAAGTTACCAGCATGTCTGAGCAGGGCCAAACCTAAAGTGGATTTCTGCTATCTTAAAAAATATCCATAAAATATATATTTTTAAACGATTCAATTTTTTTCACAGTCAGTTTTACATTACAGTTATTTACATAAAAGTATGGTTATTTACACTGAAGATGGTTAGGTTAAAGTAACACTTCAAGCAAAATATGAGTACAACATGACAGAGAAACTATAAGCTTTTTCACAAGTAGWTTTTGTAGCATGTCTTCAAAGACAAGCCCCTTTTTAGTCTGCCTCCACATAAAGTGAGCCAGCCATGTCCTGTGACAAAGTGAGCTTTTWGGTAGATTGACTTCAACTCCCAACGTTTGGTCCTTGCATAAATCACACTGTGATGGGAAGATGGCATTTTCATCTTAAGAGTGTGAAAAAATATATTGTTTTTACATTGTCACATCTCCAGCTGTTTTTTTTTTTTATTTCCAACAGTTCCTTTATGTGAGTCTTTGTTGTGAGTTAATTTCAGAGGATGTATTCTGACAAAAGCTTTACTCTGCTTGTGCTCTGCAGCCCATGTTTTCAGTCACACCCAGCCTTGCCACCAATGCCAACGCTGCTGCAGCAGCCGCCGCTGCGTTTAACCCCTACCTTGGTCCCGTGTCGCCCGGCCTGATGCCTGCTGACATTTTGCCCAGTGCGCCTGTACTGGTCACCAGCAACCCCAGCGTWCCTGTACCTGCCGCTGCTGCCGCTGCACAGAAACTCATGAGGACAGACAGACTGGAGGTGAGAAACGCATTCACGCTCATAGCTAATGACCGGAAAAAGAAAAAAAAAACCACTGTTGATCACACAGAGGATGGGATTTGCATAATTATTTTGTCAGTTTTAAATCAGTAGCAGATTAAAAAAACTGAATTACAGACTTCCAATAAATGCTGCCCCCCCCCCCCCCCGATTCTTTTTTTATAGCAGCACAGACAGACTRTGCTTTGAAATATGGACCGTGTCTATTTGAATATTAAAAGCATGGCTTGGAAAGTCCTGCCTCAACGATTTCTGTTTGTAGATTGTAGCTGTGTGTCTGGTATGCTGCTTCTGTCACAGCAAATTAGCATAACTCAGTCATTACCAAGACATAAGCAAAGAGAGCAAGACAGTAATGAGATTATTGCTCTACCAGCATTACCCGTGTCGCTTTCATTAACAAGCGTGAAACAACATGGTTTGGCACAAACTTGAGTTGTTTTACATAAAAAAGATGMTTTTTTGGTTCCATCTTTTATTTTCTTCTATGACATTATTCATTTGAAACCTGATGCGCGCCCCCTCCTCTTGCTTGCTAATTGGACAGTAAGTCAATCTCATCCATTATGTAGCTGCGCTCGGGAAACACTCGCAGCGGAGTAATGGGGAAATCGTTGGAGGCAGGCAGGAGGCGTGCGAGAGCGTTGGGGAGGTTACATTTAACTTGTAATGTTTGGTCGCTGGGTAATTAATGGGGGTGAGGCTGAGTAAGTCACTAGATGCGGCGGACGGGGGAACAACATGCAGCGCAAGGGAACGGGTCAATGATGGGGAAGAGAAATGGAAGTGGGGGAGATCGGAAATCAATTTGCAGACCTGTTGTGGTCATCAGGGGAGGGTTGGGGCAAAAAAAAAATAGGAACAAAAGAAATCGCAGTGATTGGATTTCATAGATGTTGATAATTGCAGGCAAAGAGATTGTTTGAGGGGTTTCTTGGATCTAGCTGAGGAAGAAAACAGTTTTCTGGCTAAAGACTATGCATTTGGAATCAAAGGCAAGCAAAGAATTTGAAATATTTATGAACCTAACACAACAATAATCTGCTCAGTTAGTCTCTTCGGGCCTAATAGTCTTTATTTGGAAAAGTTCAGTCACATCTCTCCCCCTACCCTTTTTGGAACAAAGTTTCCTTGAAATTTCCCAGAGAGAAATGCCTGTTATATTTTAGTCTCCAGTGTGTCATTCAAAGTAAACATAACATGAATTCTGTGGACAGACACATGAACCAGTCAGTTGAAAAGTTATGGACTGCTTTCCTGACGCTGACAGAAGTTCCTATTTTAGAAGACAATCCTGCTGACAGTTGTATTTAGAAATATTTTCTCTTTTCTTGTCTTTTTTTTTAATCCTCCACAGGAAACTGTTACATTTCTGCATGCATTCAGTCACATGCTGCTTTACCTGCAGCCATGGTGACGCTAACGTCCCAAAGGCACACATTGCCATGGAGACAGAAATCACGGTTAAAAGGCCCCTTTGGTCATTTGTCCAGTGAATTACTTTTACTGCTTTAACTTCTGCTAATRTATAACTGTTAAGAAAGGTCCACGCGGGCGCACCTGCAGCCCTGAACATTTCATTGCTGCCATTTCATCTCGCCTTGCTTGTCTAATTTTACACTCACCTCGGTCTCCTGCATCCCCATCTGTCAGTCCTTTTCTCTTTATTCATCAACCTCGCTAATATCTTCTGTTCTTTCTCCCTCCCTCACCCGCCTCACTAACATCTGCCTAACAACAAGGCAGTCTCTCTCTTAAAAAGAAGAAAAAAAGGGGGCTACTGGCATGGGTAGTATGGGCAGCAGCTGTGGGGAAATGAATATATTCATATGTGGCTTCATGTTCAAATGTGAATGCATGGCTAAAGAAACACAAGACAGGTCCTGTTCTTCGTGCTGATCAGTGGTTGTGGAAGTATTAACTGTCGAATCAGGTGCAGAGTTGGTGTGTAGCTAATAGCATCTGTTTATTTTTTATTTTTATTGTTATTGTTATTTTATTATTTGTCGGGCAGCTGTTCCTCTTCAAATCAGCTTTAGCATGAAGACAGTAAGACTGACAAAATGATCTACTGGCTAAACGGCATGCTTAGTCACTAAATAAATAAACAAACAAATAAATAAATAAATAAATAAATAAATAAATAAA